TGGATCTGCAGGGTGTGGGGGTGTGGGGTGTTGAATGTGGGGTCTGGTCTGCACCCCACCTGTCCCCATGCCTGGACCAGCCCTTAGGGTCCCACATTGGGCCGGTCTGCCCACGGATTACACCAAATTTTGCACAGTGCTTGGGGTTGGGATAAGCCAGCAACCCTCCTTCCAGCTCTGCTTGCTTTCCACCCCTGAATGCAGCCTAAACCTGGGTCTTTGAACTCCAGTGTAGGAAAGGGGTGGCTGGAAATCGCAGGCCAGTATAACCAGCACTGCCAGTGTATTCCTCAGCTGTACCGACCTCAGCTCAACACACATGTTTGTCGGTCACCCATGCCAGGGAAGGAGCTGCTGCCCAAGGCAAGCAGCGCTGCACATGGCCAATTGCATCAGGTCGGTGGAGGAGTGGGCAGATAAGCTGTCCCCGGGGCATTGCTGCTGGGAGCACTCATCAGCCCTGCTCACGGTGCGGGTGCAAGTCTAAGCCAGCTCTCGCCTGCTAAATCTGTTGCAATGATTTTACAGCAGTGCCTGTCAGCACCAGCGGATGCTGCCGTGCAGGTCAGACCCCGGCCCGGCCACTCCCCGCCTCCCGCCACACAGCTCTCGCAGACAAGACTGCACAGGAGCATCTCCAGCTGCTGGCTGCTCCTGGGGAGCATTTGCAGATCTTGCAGAAAAGCTTTCAACAGCCGTGTGCCCACCAAAGCCATGTGCCAGCCAGAGCTAGATGATGTTCACAGCACAAAGTTGGGCAGGGGGTGCTGGATCCCCTCTGCACTGTGGTCTGGGTGGCCTGAGCTCCCCCTGGAGAGCTCAGGGATGTGAAGGCCCCTGCAAAGTGTGGGAGTTTCTTTCAGCAGAGGGGAGTGTGTGTTGGGATGCTTTGAAGTGTCCTCTGTGGGATGCTTTCTACGGGATCGGCATCACTAGCCAGGGCTCAGCAAGGACTCTCTGTGTCTATCAATCAGTGTCTTTCGGGGGGGGGTGGTGCTGTTTTTACCATTCCTCCCCAGGGAGATGTCCTGCGAGTTCAATATAAATTGCTCTGAGCTTTCATTTGGTCAAGGAAGCTCTTCCTATACTCAGACTTGGGAGGAGAGCACTTGGGGAGCAGCTTTGCTCCTGCAGCCATGAGTCCCACAGCTGAGACCCAATCCCAAAATTCTCTGACCTCACATGGAGCTGCTGGCCCTTGAAGGAAACCAATCTTGTCTCACAGAAGGGAGTTTGCACACCCCTGCCAAAGCTGAGCTCATCTGCAGCCCCTGCATTTACGGCACCTGGACCCATTCCCCACCACAGGCACAGCCAGCATTGAGCCGTGGAGCTGTGGCTGGAGACCACCATGCATGAACCACCCCTGAGCTGCTCGGTCAAGCAGCACTGTGCTGCCCATCCATTTTCTCCTCATCCTCAGGCAGATATTTCATAAAAGCTCAGCCCATGCTACAGGGAGTTACTCGGGTTTCACTACAGGCCAAACTTCTTGAAGGCTCCTTCTTGGGTTTGTCTCCTCATGCTGCAGTTAAGTGAATATTGACTGATTCCCGCTAGCCAAAGACTTTGTCAGACCACTTCCATTTGCCTGCTCAAATTCTTGCTGCTCCCGACTAATATGTAACTTGGAGAAGCAACGTTCATTGTTCCCTGTGAAGAACTGGTTCGTTCTTGCCACATACTTCTGTAAACCTGTTCTGGGCCAGCTCCAGGAGCAAGTGTTTTCCACTAACTTCATCTTTCCAGCTACAGCAGAACTGGGCTAGAAAAAGGCAGAAGAGGTAGGCAGAGTTTTCTGCTCTTTTTTAAGTATCTTTGGAGCAAAATGCAACTGTTTGCAGTTTTCTGAGCCATTAACTGGAGGTGAATGAACTTCTGGAAACCTTTGGGTTCCTTTCCAACCCAGGGAGCGACTTTGTTTACTGTGTCACGTTTCCTTTCGTGCTATCATGGGCAAATCGCTGCTTTCACGCACTGCTTGGCAGGGCTCAGCATCACTGAAATGCATCCAGATGAAAACCCTGCCTCCTACAGAGCAAATCCAAGCTGGGCTGCTGATACCCTCCTGAAGGGCAATACCTTGCAACATCTGGCTCACAAAAGCCGGAGGCTGCAGTGGAAGGAAGCCTGAAGGAAGCCTTGTCTGTAGTGGTAAATACTGCCCAGGCCCCCCAGCTCCCCTGGAGGGACGTCAGATATATGGGACAGACCGTGCCACTACACAGTGTCTCCTCCAGAGGGACAGGAGTTGCCACAGCTATTCTACCTTCCAGAGTGGGGTCAGTGATTCCCAGCTTCTGCGTTGCAACAACCTCCACAAGTTTTCTTGCTCTCTTTTTCATTCCTGGGCTGCCTCAGGCATGGGATTCTTCGTCTGGTCTGGTGAGATCAAGGTGGCACCAGCCTTCTTTCATTCCTGGGCTGCCTCAGGCATGGGACGCAGCCCAGGAGAAGATTCTTCGTCTGGTCTGGTGAGATCGAGGTGGCACCAGCCTTTTGCAGTGTGGGGCTGGACAGGCCTGGATGGATCCGAGCTCCCTGCATCAGACCCATCTTCCTTCCAGCTGTTTGCTTTTGGAGGGTGTCACTGGTCTGAGGGAGATTCCTGGGGTGATGCCTACTTTGGCCCATGTGGCTAATGTCTGTCCAGATCAGAGACCAGGCTAGAAAGGAGAGAAAACTCTTGAGACATCTTCTGGAGCTCTCTCACTACAATAAAAACTGTCTGTCTAATCACCTGGAAGAACTCCCTGAAATCTAGTGAACAGAAGACTCAGAAAAAACAAAGGAAATGGGAACTGGATACAGCTGTGGGAGCAAGAGGGGACACAGAAAAGGTCCTTCCTTTCAGAGGGTGATGAGGCTCAGGCTCATCAGAAAACTGGTCAGAGCAGCTCCATCATCATCAACGCTAAACCTCAGGCGGGTTCATCAAGATGTGGTTGAACTGGGGAGCAAAGAGCTGCAAACCTCTGTTCCATCCTCTGTCAACCTCCACAATCACTGCAGTCCGTTGAAAGAAATGGATACAGTAAAAGGTATCCACCCAACGGGCTGCCCACCAGCAAGCCAGGCGCTGGGCATGGCTCCGAGCCTCGTGTCACCTGTGGCAGGGCAGGGGTAAGGGAAGACCACCGGTGTACAGGCAAGCCCAGCCTGATTCCAGGGTTCAGGGGCTGGGGAAGCTCTGGCCGCTTAGCTCTGGGTGACTCCCCAGCTCGGGTCCCCGGGAGGCTGCAGGCACTAAGACCACTAGGAACTGAAAGCTGGGTTTGGGAGCGAGGGATTTTTTCTGGCTGAGCACTCATGAAGGCAGATTGCAGAGCATGTTTCATGCAAATGGAGTGATCGGATCCTGAAAGAAGCTGTGACCCAGCACTTCCCTCCAGCCTGCTGGTAATTAAGCCAGGGCTGATCCTGGGCTGGCAAAGACCAGATTCTCCCCCAGGCCCTGGAGGGTGATAATGCACAAAGAAGAGATTAGTTATTTCTTTGTGTATTTAAAAGCCTTAATTGTTCAGACACAGGGGGGAAAAAAATATCTCCTGGAACAGGCAGACCCTTGCGATTGGGAGGGAAGAGCACACCCTGGAACAGATGGTTTGCACAGCGCTGTTTGCTATGTGTTTGCAAGCAACAGCCTGGATAAGGTTAGGAGAGAGGACCACAGGGCCATGCTGAGCAGCCTCCTCTGCCGCGTGCTTGCCGTTTATGAGATGCACACTGTGGGTGGCAGGCAGGACCATGGTGACTTTTACCATCTGGGATTCCCTGGGCAGCAGAGAAAACACTCAGACAAGGTAGGTAATGTCCCCCATTCCCTCCAGCCATCACCCCGCCCGTGGCAGAGCAGTGGTGGGGCTGCCCAGGTGGCAGACGGGTCCTGGATGCCCTGGGTTTGGCAAGGAGATGGGGAGGGCACTCCTGGTGCAATCCCCTGGAGCTAAGGCCATCTCCAGCAGGTACTTGCAGCTGGGCACTGCTCCAGTCCCTGACACTGACCTCGTGCCCAATGGTCCTGTCTCAAGGTTTGGCATCCTCTGCACGACCAAGAGATGGGGCAAGCAGCTGCCAGCCTACAGGCTGTGCAGTGCTCGTGTCTTGGGATGGCCTTCCCAGAGCCAAGGGCTCCCTGGATGCTCCACCTCCCCAAAACTTTCCCTGTTTGCCAAGCACGCACAGACCAGAGAGGCAGGGGAGGAAAGATGTGTCCAGTGTCACACAGCAACCTGGGAACAGAAAGCGGCAGTCCTGGATCCCACAAAGCAATACTGGCTGCTCAGAGACAAGCCAGGAGCTCTGGGAAATTCTGCCTTATTCAGTGATTCATTGCTAACTTGCTTAGCATTGTTCCCATTTTTGGGATGGGCGATGACATAGGTTGCCTGATTTGTGGCTTTCCAGCAAGACCTGCTTTTTGGAGGTGCTGGAAGGGCGACATATTTTTGGCACTCTGGACAAATTCCTGTGCCTCAGTTTACCTATAAAGAGAGGGGAACACTGCAATGCTTCCAGGTTGTCACCAGGATGTCACAGCCAGTGTTCTGCAGACTTTGCTGGGATCCTCACATGGTGGATGCTGCTCAAAAGTGACACGAGACCCTTCGGGCTCTCTAATTGAAGGAGCTTGGCCTGTCTGCGGGATGGGTCAGGACTAGACTTGCAGACTTTTAGGCAGGCTGGGTGTGATGCACCTACACCCAGGCGAATCACAGTGTATCCCGGCAGCGGGTCCCCTCCCCGGAAGGCTCACACACGCCGTGCAGAGAAACGCACCCGTGGGATCTGCTCCAGGACAGGCAGAGGCAGGGCGATGGCAGGGCCATGAAACAGTTAAAGCAGTATCGTGTGCTCCCTCCCGATTGTTCTGTAAGGTGTGTTGTGACATTTGTACTTCCTCCTGGCAGCCAGCGAGCAGAGGCAGCGAGGGAGAGACTGCCCGGATGCTGCTGGCCCCTCCGCCCCTGCCCTGAGGGTCTCTGCTGGGGGGCTCCACCATGGCCATCTTCAAGCTCATCGGCCACTGTGCTGGGTTACTCCTCCTGGCTGTGCTGTGCGATGTGATCGGGCTGATCACCCTCTTCCTGGGAATTTTTGCTCCACTAAGTTCCTGGGACTTCTTCATCTACTTGGGAGCTCTGCTGCTCGCCTCCAGCCTCGTCTTCTGGATCTTCTGGTACACATTCAACATCGAGGTCCCCTTTAGGGAGCTAGGTTTTAACTAACCCGTGGCTCCGGCAAAGCCGAAATGGAAACTTGCACTTGGAGGAGAAACATCACATGCTGGGGAGCTCCAAAGCATCATCCAGTTGGTGAAGAGCATCCAAAACGACCAAAGGGAAAGACCTGCTGGTCCCCGCAGCATTGCCCAGCCAGATGGACCCTCAGGGGAAAGGTACCTACAGCTCAGCACACACAGGGATGCTTTGCTAGCGTTGGGGAACACAGAGGTCTTGGCAGGGCAGCCAGACCTTCCTGCTGGTGATAGCCACTCTTCAGGAATAATATTAGATTTTAAAATGCTCTGGAATGGATTAATGATGGACAGGAACTTGGTTTTGATGAGATGAGCCTGTCTGAACGAATCTGGGGAGGGGGATTTTGGTGGAAATTGGAGGTGGCTGGTATCTGGGGTTTATTTCCTCAGTTCTTCCTATCAGATGATGCTGTGAGTTGCAGGTCCTGGAGAGCTGCTGCTCTCTCGTGACAGCTTTTGGCAGCGGAGGGACAGGGAGCACAAGTGATCTCCCAGCAATACAGCCTGGGCAAACAGAGAAAGTCAATAAGAATAACCCAGATCCAGGCTGTCACTTAGCACCAAAACCTCTGTGTAAATGGCATGTGAGCGAGCAAACCTGGCTGCTCATTGGCATATCCCCATCACACCAGTGTGCGCTGAGGAGCTGCCCAGGTTGGGAAGGTTTTGCCAGCAGGAAACGTATTTCCAGCAAGGTAATGGGGAACAGTGAAAAATCAAGTGAAGGTTGTGTCACCAAGGCACCAGTATGATGCCCTGTACACAGCTCGGTGACAAATGCTGAATACACAGAAGCTAGGTACAAAGTGCCATGTTTGAACACTGGCTTTGAGATTATGCTTTCTTAATCTCAGGCTGGTCTAGAACATGCCTGGTTGGTTTGGCAGTCACCCAACGGGCAGAAAGATCAGGTAACGTGGACCCTGGCTGGGTTCTGCATCCTGGTCCTACAGCACATGAGCAGGAGGGACCCACACATTGAGCACCAGCCCCTGCATTGCATGGAGGGGCTGGTGGTGACACGGAAACATCCAGGTCAGCCAAGAGCTGCTACAAAGGGCTTGGTTTTGGCCTCACCTAGGAGCAGCAACCACTGCAAAGCGTAATGGAAGTGGAGAAGTCCGTGTGTCGGGAGAGCACCGCTGCACGGATGGCATCCTGCCTCCTTCCCAGCATCCCAAGGGGATATTCCTCCCCGTATGCTGGCAAGGCTGGTGAAGCCAATTAGCCTGAGTTAATTAACAAGCAGCTCTACAGTGCTTGGAGCTGTGCAGTACATGACAAAAGGATGATGACAGTAGGAGGTTACCCCAGCCAGGAGCCAAGCATGCAGCCGCGTACCAAGAGCCAATGGGAGCTAATGGTTTTATAACAGTACATGAGACAAAGAGAAAGCAGAGATGGGGGAGATGTCCCCCACTGACACGCAGGTGAGTATCAGAGCTGAGACCAAACTCACCTCTCTTCAGTTTGGGCATCTCAGCCAGGCCAGTGCCCCCAGGCATATACCTCCCAGTGCATAACACAGGAACATCATTGCCAAACGACACGATCCCCATCCACGAGTCACTCGAGAGAGATTTCCTTGCACAGTTTTTTATAAAGCCTCTCACAACCGGTGAGAAACATTTTTTTTATTCTTATTTACTGATTTTTCTTTATTTCTTATCTCGTTGGCAGTGACCGCAAGAGTCAGCCAGGAAGTTTTCTCGACTCTCCTGGGAGCATGGAAGCTGCAGTGTGAGTCACAGTGTTTTACAGCCCTACACTTACCAGAATGCCCAGACCAGGAGTTCAGCTTTACCCTCCACCACCAGGTCTCAGGGTGCTTTTCCACCCATGTGCCCTTGGGACTACCTCCTTCAAGAATTTCCTTGATGCGCATCCAGATAAGAGCCTGTAACAAGCATTAGTTGGATACTGCAGCTATATATGAGGAAGGGCAACAGTAACCAACACCCTCCTTTATTTGCTCTGGGATTGTTAATTGCTAATGCTAAGCCTGTTCAATCCAGCCTGTAAAGCTTGGCTGAGGGCTTTGTCACCATCCAATGTCTGGCCCTTTTTGGGTGCATGCCTGGGCGCATCGCTCAGGGACAACACCCAGCGAGCTGGTGGCATCGCCCAGGGAACCCAGGGGGAGATGGGTGCGAGGTCCCTGTCACCACTTGTCCCTCTTGCCTCCCAGGCCAGTGGTCCAGACCACTCCTGAATAATGCCTGCTGGGGTGCAAAGTCTCTGCCAGTACCTGACATTGGATGAGCCAGTGCACATCGCCAGCACATGGCTGGGGGAAAGCTTTGGGGTGATGAGGGGTGGAGGGTGATGCTCACGACCAGGAAAGTGCTGTCAACCCTGTGCCCAGACCTCCTGGCATGCACCGATGAGGCTGTAACCAGCTCCATGGAGGAGTAGAGGCCTCCGATGCATCCCACCACATACCAGCTCTGGGGCAGTCCCAGCACTGCATTTCCAGGGCGCTGCAGACCCCAGGATCCTGCATTGCCCGTGGGGTGTTCCTGCTGGCACATTTTCCCCTCTCCAGTTCATCTGTGCTCTCTGATAGTGACCCAACTCGCATAGCTCCAGGCAGGGCGAGCACAATTCCCCAGCGGGACACACATGGTACACGAGTCAAACCCAAACATGTCTCTGTATTTGTACGAGGGCGCAAGGTGCCTTCAGCACCCTCCACTTCCTCCAGGAAGCTGGCACGGAGGGTCACAGGCACACGCAGGACATGGTGGCTTCAATCCCCCTGGTGCATGGACAGAAGCAATTAGCCAGGCCCAGCAACCAGAGGTAAAACATTCCACTCGTGGTGTGTGCCCGTGGCAGGGCACTGTGGGATTTCTCTTGCCTCCCTGTCCCACCTTCTCCCGTGGTGGGCACCCATAAGCCTGCACACCCCAGCACCTCCAAAGCACCAGCTCTGATGGTCTCCAATGTCCCTTTCCATCCCGGGGACGTAGATTCTTCCTTCTACTGCTGTCCCCAAACCACACTGGCTGGAGTAGAGTCCATCCCTGCCAGAGCCAGCCTCACCACCAGCAGGATAAGCATGAGTGAAGCATCTGTGAGTCCCTGTCCCTTGGAGGCTCAGTTCCGCGCAGCACTGGGAGAGCTGGCCCAAGCCCAGCGCATTATTGACCCAAGAGCTTATCTTTCACCGTCGGGTTTTTGTGGTTTTGTACTCGGTCTGTTTGTTCCAGGCTGCTGGGGGTGTTTGACAGCCATGGGCACAGCGCAGCCCAGTGGCTATGGCACGTTGCCCAGACGTGCAGGGCACTGGGAACCAGCAGCCCTCCTCCACTCCCTGACCAGTCTGTGCTACCCAAGTCACCCCACTGACCTGAATGGCCAGTCACCGAAAAACAGCACCCTCCAGCTTTTCCTGCCCTGATGCTTTAATCCCAAAATGCTGTGGAAGTGCATGCCAGGAGTCCTCTTTCACGACTTGTGCGTGGTCTCAGGAGTCTGGGCTCCCTTACACCTCTTCCCCTGTATGGCACCACAGCCACAGTATCCCCCATTCTGCACCGGGGGAGGCACCAGGGGGAATATCAACCTCGAGGATGTCAAGTGTTTGCTCATGTGTCTAGATCTTCAAGGGGAAAACAATCCTCCTTTTGTGACCAAATATTAGCAGCCTTACCTGGGCTGATCCTGAATATCACTGGGCAGCCCACAGTGCCCAGCTCGGAAGCTGACATGGCTGCATGCATGGCACCCCAGACATCATGGACATCCTGTTTGTCAGCCAGGCAGCAGTCTGCGGGTGCTTCTCTATCGGATCTGGCTGGTGGTCAACGGCACCCTGAGTCCCAGAGTTTTGATTTTAGACGTCTTTATTGGAGACATCTTGAGTTTCTTAGATATCACCAAGGTCTGCTAAAGTATTTGCATCTCTTTTCACTGTCTATTTATAGGGAAACAGAAAAGGACCAGAGTGTGAACGTAAGGAGCAAGCAGATGAAGAGGACTAGCACCAAACAAGGACTCTGTTGTGCTACTCTTGCAAACCCATGGCTGAAAATACAGATAGAGCTGACTATAGTGATCTGCTGGGCACGTTGTTACCACTCTGGGCACAAGTACTTAAGGCACACCTGGAACGGTGGATACCCTTTTTGCATCCTCTCTAAGCACATCAGAATCACTCCTACCCACTGATGTTGTCTCAGAGGGCCCAACACAAGCAACCTGGTAGCAGTGGAGCCACTGCAAGCTGTCCTGACTGTGGGCCTGGTGCAGATCGGCAGGATCCGGCTGACAGGCTGGACCAGTTCCGCAGACCTCACCACATGGATGTGAAGAACTGGTTCAACAGGGCTCACAGCTGGAGAGACTGCCTGAGGTGCAGCTGACTCCTTGGCTTGGGGACCTCCTCTGTACATTGATGCACTCAACGGGAAAGGGAGAGGGAGACAACAAAATTGGACAGTACAGAGGCTTTCCTAAGCAAAATCCAGCTGCTGGCTGGATAGAGGTCTTAGGTACGTTTTACCTAATCTCACCAAGGTCCAAGGCACTCTCTAAGCGGCACTTAATGAAATACTCAGAAGATCTTGGTTCAAAGAACTATCGGAGCCGTTGACAGTTGCAAGGATTTAGTGCCTCAGCTGTCAAACCGGTGGTGGCTCAACATGGAAACATACGTCCCAGCTAACTCAAAATACAAATCTCAGGTAGGAGGGGAGGAGAGGAGACCAAAAGACCCATATCACCATCCTCCTGTGCTCCTGATGCTGTGTTCAGCTGACCATAAAGACACTTATGTAGGATGGAAGCACATATACCACCTATCAAATAGGTCGTTCAGCACTTTCCATTACAGACACCTCTTTTCAGTTATTTACAACTTTTCCAAAATTTATTTCTTTGTGATTTCCCATCCTGGAGAATCTGCCTCTTGAGATTAAGTTTGGTGTTTCCCTTGGTCCTTCTCTCCGGAGACCAGCTGACAGG